AAGTTCTTTGCTCATTTTTATGATAGTTCTAGTAATATAAAGAATATGGTCGACAGTATATTTTAGGTCATTATAATCATTGGATTGATAATAGGACCCAGTATTTATTGGGACCCGTAACTAATTCAATGAAATAGATCAACAAATTAAATCTTAATAACATTGTTGTTAAGACAATCATGTTGCAAGTGCACCCATGTACTCTCTGGCCCACAAAACCATTACCAGAATAGGACATGACAAATCAAACTTTTCAGGATCTGTGTCAATTAATCCTTTTCCATCTTAAAAATTAGGGCAATGCTAAGAATCTCAAATTGTATCTCAAATCAATATAGACATTAAAGGATCTCATTGACTTTTTTTCAATGGAATCCACTTATCTAAATGTCCCTATTCATTTTGGAATCCCAAATTTAAGATTTGGAAGTATTACCCTAAAAACTAATGGCATAGCGGATTCGGATATTCAGTGAACCTACTTAATTAACCACAAGGGATAAGCAATATCAGAAGAGACTAAGGTACCTCCTTCAATATAATTACCAAAAGAAATTTAAAAAGTTACAATTTACTCGTGTAAAAATTATGACTCAATGGGATTACGAAAGAGTGGAGATCGACGCTAATGAGTCCAAGCTGCGAGTAATCGTCTGCACGAACATGGAAAAATGATTCTCATATGAAACAATGTATACAGTAAGATGGAAGTGTTCTTTATCATAAACCAGAATAACAGTTTATATCGTTAAGATTTTGCGTTTAACCTACAATTTACTTTTTATTTACACCAGTAATGCACCACACGTGTTGCACGTGAATAATTTTTTTAGACAAAAATTAATAAATAAATATTTTAGTATATGTGTAATTGAATTAAATATTATTTTAAATTTACCAAACATATTTTTGGGTTGCTCATACTCTACTATAAAATTTTTGAAAACTTTGTATGTTCTCAAGATTTGTTGTTCTAACTTCAAGAAAAAGGAAAAATAAATAAATAAATGATTAAAGTTCTATTTTTTTCTAGAATTTTGTAATTGAAAGAGATTTTTTTAGTGATGTTTCAAAATTAAATTTTTTAAAATTAATTTGATTAAGATTCCACGTATAAATCATTATAAAACAAAAATAATTGTCAATATATCAATCATATTGGAACTTTACTGTATTTAGGATTAGTTAGGTCAATTGAAATTAGATTTAATATATTATGTTATAATATACAATAAAGTATATTAAAATTTAAAAAAATATAAGTTTTTCTTAAAAATATATTAAAATTTATTTTTACATAAAATCTTAACATAGTTTGAAAAGTTTACTGTGACTGAAGAATCATATAAAACTGTATATACATTATTTTTTATCTTAAAAATGAAAGGGTTAAACATTTTGATGAAAAATAAAATATACATATGTAATCATATGTTATCTTTATAAATGCGATGAGTAATATTAAATTGATGAAGTTTTTGAAAATTTTTTTTGAATATTTTATTAAAACGTATAACGATGCATATATTTTTTAAAAGTAATATAGTCCATCAAAAAGTTTAATAAAAAATTACATTTGTACATAGATAATAGACAATTAAAAATGATCTTAGATATAATTTAAAATTTTAAATACATAAGGATATGATGATAATTTAGATATTAGGGTTAATTGCATTGAAGATCCTTAAAGTTCCTTGAAGTATTTAAAAAGTTTCTATGTGGTCTCTCCAGTAGATAGTGTTCAGATTGCTAAAGATTTTTTATCATAAATTTATCACGCAATATCTAAATATAGGAAAAAAAATAATTTAAATAATTTTTGACAAAAATATGAAGCATATTACCAAAAAGTTGATTTTGGTAATATAGTCCTATAGTCTAACCCTCTGTACCTCTCGGTATGGTATGGAAAAATAGAATAATATTTGGTACTACAATCTTTCCCCAATATGATCAAGTTGCCAGACATTTTGAAAAAATAACATTGTTTTCACCACTAGTGTGGGACATTGGCAGTTGATTACTATGTTTCTTAAAGGCTTCATGGACCACATGACCTCATGGCTTGTCCGCCTAAAGACTCACCAGAGGCATTTACAGTCCACCGACCTAGTTTTGTCAAGTGGATGGGCATATAAGATTTTGGTATGAGCTGCCTAGACCAAGTGTTATGACACTTGAAAAAGATTACTTACAGTGGACTATCTTTCCTGCATATGTTTAGGCTTTTACCTGGATTTTTCAGGCTAGACTGCTGTAATTTTTAAGTATGCTATGCCATGGCTATTTGAAAGGATTCGATATTTTTTCTGCAATACAAACGTGACACGGGTAAAAACTTAGTTATTCCATTATTTTTACGATCAATAGTTAAAAATAAATCAAGACAATCTACGGCTAACAAGTGTTGTGTTGTCTAACTTGTATAAGATTTGGCATACGGCTCTTACCCCGATCTCAAGCTCAACATCTCTTTTTGGATTAGAGAGAACACTAAATCATATAAACAATTGGGCAGGAGAGGCCACTAGGATGAACAGAGTATTCATTTCAAGAATTAAAATTTCGACTTCAATTTGCTTAAGAATAAAACATTTTGTAAGCTTAATAACAAAAAAAATACAATATTGAAATTCTAATTCCAAAACATTAGCTAAAACATTTTGAAACATCTCATAGCATCTGTACTCGTTAAGCGGGTTAAAAGCTCAAACTGAACCATTTTAAACCTCATCAATTTGATTCTGTGAAAAAATGAGGCATTCTGTGTATCAGTAGCTCCAAAAGGTAAAGGCACCAACGGTCCCTAAGGTTTGACATGTATTACACTTTCGTCCTTAAACTTCTAATTCGTCCCCAATGTTTACACATTGACCCACTTTGGTCCTTACCCCTAACTTTCGTCCAAAAAACTAACGGAAAATGTCATGTGCCCAACACATGAGCGTATTAAGGGACATTTTAGTCATTATACTCTCAAAACTTTGGGCATACATGAAAAAATACTCTTCTCCAACCCATCTCTCTCTCTTCTCCAACCCATTTCTCTCTCTCTCTCCAGCCAGCACCATCCCATCTCTCTCTCTGCGGAAGACTCCACCGCTGGAATCAAGCACCACCACCCACCACCGTTGGAATCAAGCTCCACCATCCACCACCGGTGGAATCGAGCTCCACCACCCAATTATATGAGAGGCAGCCACATGAAAGGGTCATTGGCTTGAACAATCTAAAGGTGCAGCTCTTCCTTTGGCGTAAAGGATCAGCCACTTGACAAAGTGGGTTTTGGCAGAAAATCAGAGAAGAAAAGAGGGTTTTTTTTCAGCAGAAAAGAGAGAGAAGAAATCTGAGTTTTTGGGAGAAAAATCAATTGCTGTCTGCGGAACAGAAGCTCCGTTTGTGAGTTTTTGAAAGCTGTTTTTTTTTTGTGTATTAGTTGCTGAAATTATCAGATTTGTTTTCCCTGTATTTGGTGTATATTGTACTGAATATTTTGATGAAATAGAGACCAATTTTTATAGAGTTATATATGGTATATGCATCTGATTTTTGTTCTATGTTATACTTGATTTTGTGTTGCAAATTGTGAGATTCTATTGTAGCATAATTTCAACCACTATTTGTGTTGGGTTTGAGGGTGGAGACGCAGTAACGAGAGCGTAGAGAGAGAGAGATGTGTTGGGTTTGGGGTGGAGACGCAGTAACAAAGGGAATTTGTTGGGATTTGGGGGGTGGAGATGCAGTAGATTGAGAGGGAGAGATGTTTGTGTGTGAGGAAGAGATAACCTAGAAGGATTTGTTCGTGTGTGCGGAAAGAGAAGAGAAAGGAGGAAGAAGGTGGGTGTTTGGGTCCAAGAATAACTGTGTTTGGATATATAAATAGTTGTAAAATGACAAAAATGTCCCTTAATACCCTCATGTGCTGGGCACATGGCATTTTCTGTTAGTTTTTTGGACGAAAGTTAAGGATAAGGACGAAAGTAGGTCAATGTATAAACATCGAGCACAAAATTAGAAATTTAGGAACGAAAGTGTAATGTGTGTCAAACCTTATGGACCATTGGTGCCTTTTACCCTAGCTACAAAATATCTGTCTCTATGCAAAAGAGTCTTCAGAACGAGCACTTGTACCTACAATCAGACAGCCAGAAACCTTTGCCTAGTAAATGAACAAGACCAATCCCAAAAACCCAAGTTAAAAGAAGGCTCAGAAACAAACCACTTTCTTTCCAGTGTGAAACCTCAACAAACCATGCCCGTCAACCAATTTTCTGTCCAATGTAAATCAGAATCAAATGTTTTCCCATAAGAAGACAGGTCACTGTATTTTTTCCAAAAATTGCTATAAACAATGTTCTCGAACGCTGACATGCCTCATACATTTCACAACCATAAAAAAGGCTTCAAGCTATGACAAAATTATTACCATTCCTAGCAATCCAAAAGGGCACTCGATATACCATGAACAACACAAGAGTTTTAATGAGGAATCGCGAGACGGGTCATAATATAACAAAGATAAGCCCCTAAATGGATCAGAATGACAATAGAATTTACTAAGCCAGCTGAAGTAGTTGATCTTAAGGCCCAGCAGAATCAGCAAAATGACGGCATAATATTTAGATTCAGATCTTAATTCCTGCAATGCAAAACAACATTCTGGACTTTAAGTACCATCATCCCCATAACCTTCTTATAACAAAGCAGATAGACACAATCACAACTCCCAGACTACTGTAGCATTCCACCAATGTTTACCAAAAACATGCCTCTAGAATAGACATTTTGTAACTAGTCTTATCTTGACACATGCTAAATTAATCTCTCCGTAAGTGGCCTAGATCCACATCATCTGGTCAAGTACTTCAATAACAATCAATACAATAGAAGATCCTTATAATCAGACCCAGTTCCTAAGCCAAATAAGATGTGCAAAAGGCGAAGCAGAACTGAAGGTAAATCACATCAGCAAAACATATTGATACCTACAATATTCACATAGAGACAAGGACTAAGAGATACAGATGACTACAAACTCAAAGGCACAAAGCTCTTACAACATCAATCTAAAAGACTGTGGGGGCTTCTAAAAGCACGTAATAATGAAAGCAGATGCATATCATCCATTAGTTAAATTAAAGCACTGAAAGTGGTTTACAGATACAGGATGACATTCTAACTCTTGCAGGAAGTTCAGCTCAGAACAAGACTGCATTCAAATTCAGCTACATGCAAAACAAAATTGTATTTTTTCTCTGCCTCCAGAATACAGGAATCCCCCTTTCCTCAAGAAGCTGTGTTTTCCCTGAAAGTCCCATTAGCAGTAGAATAGATTCAGAGAAAACAAATGAACCAAAAATTCAAAATGAAATACTCATCCATCAAATGGACAGCAGAGCAAATCTCAAGCTAGGGAACAAACTAGAAATGAAGAGGTCACGTAATCCAGTAACACTATATGTATAACCATTATAAGTTGAGCAAGTTTCGGTGGTAACACAAATCACAACTTTAAACGCAATGTAAATTGGATTAAACACGACAAACATTACACCCTAACTAGTCATTTCGGCATATACCTCTGCCTATCCTTGCAAACCCCACACAACCTTCAATCAATTTAACAAGCACACAATCTAATAGCACCCAACCACACATACAACAGGCAGCCCCTTAATAACTTCAAAACAACACAAAAAACATGTAGTCAATAAGCTCAGCTATTATAATTTGAGTGGGCTACGGCGATTAAACAACAGAGATTTATAAAGAAAGTAACAAATTGAGCGGGCAACCCATCAAAAAGAAACTAGTTAGTGAGGAATGCACTAACAATAACATTAATATACATGCGTAAATAATAAATAAATCAGAAACTCATCTTTCAGTTACATAAGTTGTAGTAATTTATGCAATTGCAAACAACAAACAACCTGCATATCAATCTAACATATATTCATACATACACAACGAGACATAAATGCCAATAATCGTTGCAAATTTTCATGAAATAAACAAGAACAAGAACAAAAGGTTACCTTAACAGCTTATCTATGCATTGGCTCTCAGAATGAGTTCATCTCAAGGCAATAAGTCCTCCTCTTCACCAACATCCTCGCCGCGGTCCCAAATGGCTCCTCAAAACCAGCTGAAACCCAAGACCCATCAGAACCCACCTCCTTCTTCACAGCCACCTGTGCCTGCTCACTCGGCCTAATCGCCACCAGAGTCGCCCCCTTCAACACAGTCCCATCGGGCAGCTCCAAATGGGGTGCATACCACAGCCTCATATTCAACGCCGGCACCAAAGTCCTCTTCGAGGCCGAAGAAGCCGACAGTGGTTTCACTCTCAGCTCCTCCAGTTGTGCCCTGTTCATACACAACACCCCTTGCCCGTCAGTATCAGTCAAAACCAAGCTATCCAATGTCTTATGCTCCCCTATAATTGGCTGTAACAGATAATGCCTAGCCGAAGCTGCGATCAATGAGCTAATAGTCCAAACCACTCGCAATTTCAATCCACCATTTGTGTTAAACGATTCGGGTATGCTTCCATTATCTTCGTTTCCATTTCCATTCCCATTTCCTCCACCATTGTTCATGCGAAAATCATCTCTATTTGTTTCTCCAGAGAGTAAAATCTTACTGGGTACGGGGAGAATCACAGAGGAAGCACCGAGAATCACGCAATTATCGAGGGTGGAACCGAAATCAGCCCTCCATTTTAACAGAACACCTTGGTCGATTCCAAGTTCCCCACTGGGTAATTCAATTCGGAGGAGACGAATTTCATTGAAATTCTTGAGAACTTGAGTTGGGGAATGATGGGTCACTCCATTCTGATCAAGATCATCCTCGTCAATGGAGAGGGAAGATGAAGATGAAGCTGGGCCTACTGATCTTTTTGGACCCAGGAATTGGGTGAGGTATTGGAGGGGCTTGGAGATGCCTGAGAAGAACAAGCGGAAGAGAGAGGAAAAAGGGGATCGGGACTTGTCGGAGGAGGTGGCCGCAGAGGAGGAGGACGATTCGTCGGACATCACGCAGTCTACACGAACAACGATGTTTTCGACCTGAGGTACCAAAGAGTGGAACCGCTTCGAAACTACGCAGCAACGGCCTAAGGCCTTGACGTCGCCGATCTTGTTGAAGACTAGTAGGAGGAGAGAATCGGGCAAATAGTCAAAATGGTCGATTCCTGATGGATAAGTGTTGGGTTCTGGGTAGATTTTGGTGGTTAGATCTGCCTTAAAAGACGACATCTGTACGTGTATACAAATGTAAAGAAAGAGAGGAGTTCTAGAGAGGGAAAGGCGGGGGGGATCTGGGAGAGATAGGTTTTGGTTGTTGAGATCGAGTTGGGGATATGGAGTTAAGTGAAGGGAAAGGGGCAGGTTATGAAGCGGAATAGACAAAAGGCATGGTTTGTGTTTGTGCTTGTGCTTGGGGGTGTGTGTGTGTGTGAATGTGAGAGAGAGACAGGGATCTGAAGTTGATGTAGGTAGGTGAAATTCTAGGGTTTCTGGTAATGGAGGGAGGAGATGAAGATGGAGGTGGTGGGGTGTGGGGAATTAATGAAGTTTAAGCACAGAGACAGACAGTGGGAGAGGGAGAGAGTATATGGTGGGAGGAGACGAATCCCACTGTTTTTGTCTTAACAGCGAAAGGGATGAGAGAGAGAGGGAGAAAGAGAGAGACGAAAGGATAGGATATTATGACCTTAAAAGGGGATGAAGTGCGTGTGTGTGTCTGAGAGAAAGAGAGATGGCCGCAGTGTGTTATTTGGTATATTTCCATTATTACTTGTATATAGTCCCTTGCTTTGATCATAGTTTTTAGGGCAAAATTCAGTTTACTCCATTTTTGTTTGGTCGTTGTGCACATCACCTCTTTGTGATTCAAAAATCAGCACATAATCCCTTGTATTTTTGGACTAAAGTGTGACCGTTACTATTTCTGTCAAAAATGACAGAAATTGTAACACACGCTAGATTTGCAAGTATTGATGTAAAAAATTTAAGTCAAAGCTCAATCTAAAAGTTCAAATAAACCCTTGTGATATTTCAAAAAGACATTTTTTTATTTTCTTCTACATTTTACTGCTAGAAAAAAAAATATTAGATTTTTCATCTCCATTCTACATTTTCCCGTCTCTGTGCCTCTCTAGTTCTCGCCTCCTCCTCTCTCTCTCTCTTGTAATTGTTCTTGTGATTTTCGGTGGGGATGGTGGGGGTTTTTCAATGGGTTTGGGGGTGGGTTTCAGGGGCTGTTGGGAGTGAGTTTTCGGGACTGTTGGGAATCAATTTTCGGGGGTTTGGGGTGGGTTTTCAGGGGGTGTTGGGTGGATTTTCAGGGGGGGGTTTGGGATGAGTTTCAAGTATAACGTTGGGGGTGGGAGTTTTGGTGGTGTTGGGTTGTTGTTGGTGGGGGTGGGTTTTCGGTACGGGTGGTTGGTGGTGGGTGGATTGCAAGGGATTTTGGGGTGGATTTTCAGAGGGTGTTGGGTGAGTTTCAGGTGTGGCGTTGGGGGGTGGGAGTTTCGGTGGTGTTGGGTTGTTGTTGGTGGGGGTGGGTTTTCGGTATGGGTGGTTGGTGGTGAGTGGATTGTAAAGGGTTTGGGGGGTGGATTTATGGTGGGGTTAAATGGTTGCTGGTGGTGGGATTAAGTGATATTGGGTGGTTTTTCAGGTGTGACATTGGGGGTGGGGGTTTGGGTGGTGTGGGGTTGTTGTTGGTGGGGGTGGGTTTTCGATATGGGTGGTGGGGTGGTGGGTGGATTGCAAGGGGTTTGGGGGCGGGTTTGTGGTGGGGTTAGGTGGTTGCTGGCGGTGGGATTAAGTG